CCTGGGAGAGAAAATTTAGGAGGGGAGGGAGAGAGGGTCCAACATTTGTCTTAAAAAGCTCCTGCAGATTAAAATAGAATAGGTGACAGACAAGGAGCAAAATATAAAGTCTGAGAATTTTCTAGAATTAAGGTCAGATATGAATCATCTAACTGAAGAAACTCAGTTGAGGATAAAGAAGAACAGTTCTACTGTTAGAGGCACTGTACTGAAACACAGAACACCAAACAGAGAAGTTAAAAACAACCAGAAATGAAAGGGGAAGGCTTAAAAGAAAGGATCAGCAGCATGACAGATGCCTCAAGACCAAAGGAGTAATTTAAAAATGTAGCTGTCAACGTGGAATTCTGCTTCCAGGTAAACATTCAAAGGTGAGAACAAAAGTGATGATACTTTGCTGGCCTGCCTGTAATCACAGTGACTTGGGAGACTGAGGCAGGGGGATTGCAAGTCTGAGGGCAGCCAAGGATCTTAGGGAGACTGTCTCAGGAAAAAAAAAAGGCTAGGAGTGGTTTGGTGGTAGAACGCTGCAAAAATAAAAAATATAAATCAGAGCAGAAATGAATGTAATAATGTTTCATTATTGAAAAATTAGAGAAAAATGAAAAATCAACACACCCATAACTTGGTTCTTTGAAAAGATGAACAAAGTGAGCAGACCTTTAGACAGGTCAAGAATAAAAGAAGACTCAAATTACTAAAACTTGGTGAGGGGTGGTGATTAGAGAATACCATGAAAATTGTATGCTAGAAAATTAGATAAAATTAACACATGCCTTTTTTTTTTTTTTTTTTTTTTTCCCCGTACTGAGGATTGAACCCAGGGGCGCTTAACTATAAGTAAGCCATATTCCAGCCCTTTTTATTGTTTATTTTGAGACAGGGTCTCCCTAAATTGCTTAGAGTCTTGCTAAATTGATGAGGCTGGCCTTGAACTTGCAATCTTTTGGCCTCAGCCTCCCAGGCCACGGGGATTATAGGCCTGTACCACCACACTGGGCAAACTGACACATTCCTATAGATTACTTGCTAACAAGTCAACAATTACTTTCCCCAGTTCTTTTTTTTTTTTTTTTTTTGGTCTGAAAATCCGTAATAGTAATATAGATGATTCACAACTGAGGCATCTAGCCACATTCTGTTCTTACCCTTTGGCTGATAGTGTAGGGCAATGGGTCTCCAGACCTGATCATGGGTTGAAGAGGACCTTTACATTCCCTCTGGTCCTCCCTGAGTTTGTTCCATGCCAAAACAGAAAATCATTTTCAAGGAAGTACCAAAGAAACCTGGTCATCCATCTCCTGACAGGCTGTAGAAAAGTTATGGCCTTTTGGTCAAAGCCTTGGCCTTGAGCTAGCGCTGGGGGCCTGTAAGAGGCATCCTGGACCCCCTGCAGGCATGCAAGAGGCATTCTGGACCCCCTGCTCATCAAGTTGCCTGCCTTGTCAATGCAGACCACCCAGGAGGCTAAAAYTTCCTGAGTTCTCAGCTCCACCCTTAACACAAATAGGGTCATCATTCTCTGGCTTCTTTCCCAAGGCCTTTCCCTTCCCTTCCCCTCCTCCCCTCATCAACGGGAAATCTGTCTTCATACCTTTGGCAGGTAGGTGTGGCCTTTTGTAGATGGGAAACAGCAGCAATGAAAATGTCATTTTCTTGTGCCCAGTTCCCTTAAATATTGCCCAATATTAAACTTTTAGTGAGCTGGCCTGTTCATTCATCCAACAAATATTGATTGAGAATCTGTTATGTAGGAGATATTATGTTAGGGAACACAGCTGTACATCGAGATCTCTTGTAATCAAGGGAGATTAACAAAGTTAGATGTTGCAATTAGATACTTTGAAGGGAAAAGTTTAAGTATCATAAACCATATTAATTCTGTAGGTCATAATTAATGGGGGTTTGTCACTACTTTTTATCAATGTGTTGCATATATTAAGAGCATTTCATTTTGTGAAAAATATATTTTTTTGTAGTGCTGCGGATCAAATTGAGGGTTTTGAGCATGCTAGGCAAATACTACAACTAAGCTACAACCCCAGCCCCCATTTGGTGAAAATTTTGCTTGCTATATTATTTGTATTGGAGTTCTGGTGTTTCTTTTTATGCTTTAATGTGGGTTACCATCAAAAGAGTTTGAAAGAATGGATCAAATACATTTAGGAACAATCAAGAATCTTGCTAAGGGAAGGTTACTTTGAGTTAGAATTTTGACAATTGGGAATGGGAGTAATGAGGGGGGAAAGGGTATATATATTCAGTGGACACAGAGAGAATTTGGGCCCCAAACTGGCACTCGATATGAAGATCACTTCCATCAGTGACAAGATAAGGTTTAGTGAGGATGTACGGAAAGAATTTTGTGTGGGGGTGGATACAGAGACTTAGGACCTTTTGGTTTTGAGCAGGTTAATAATTTTCTTTCCCTCGTGGACTACTGATAGCTTATCAGCTTTGGTTGCCCATTGGACTTTGGCAGCTCCACCTTCACTCTGATTGCAAACAAGTGAGAAGCTGTGATAGGCTGGGTGGTGGGGTGTCTTTTCCTTCCTCCCCTCCCCACTATGCACTTTGAGCAGTTTCCTTGACAGATGTCTTACACAGTACTGACACCTTAGCTGGAGATACCATGGGGACTGCTCTTGCCTTAAGAAGGGATTAACACTTCTTTGGGATGTGTATTTTGGGGCTTCATGTTATTTAGAACTATATGTTTGAAGCATTTTGTTTTGCTTTATCTCTGGGTGGGCTTCTCATTAATGCTTAAGGGAAAGGGCCTGATGGGGACTGACCTTTTGTGACAGCCCACTACACTTCAGATTAGAGTCCCATAAGTATGACATAATGTCTGAAAAACACTGAGTCCAACCAAGAAAGATAAATATAAAGGGTTATTACAGAGATGAAGGGGCTTAGGAGAAATTTTGCAAGAGATATCATTACCTTGAAATTACTTGGAAAATACAGGAGAGGAGTATCACAGCAGCTCTCCCCCTTGCCCACTGACGCAGTAATTACAGGGTGAGGATAATTGAATTTTAGAAAAACCCAGGGCCCAGCTATAGTCTCTTTCAGAGTGACAGGAAGAATCTGGCCTGGCTTCAGTGCTTGCTGTTTTACTCCATCTCTACTCAGCACTGAAGAGCAAGCACCCTGCCGTGGAGCACCAGGTCCTTCTTGCCACCTGCTTTCCTTTCCTCAGCACTGTCTTCATGGGTGTGTCTCCCCAAGAATTGCATAGGGTGGGATGTTGTCTCCCTTCCCTYCACCAATTCAGAGCCTGGTATCAACTGGGGTATCAACCACTCACTGAGCTAGAACAGGAGCATGGATACTAATTGGGCACAGTTCTGCTAGAAGATCCTTCCTCTGGGTCTGCCTGACCCAGGTGGCAGCTGGTTTAGCCATAAGGAAATAATCCTAATGTCTAGTGGAATAGAACAATGGGAAYTCAGTGGGTGGTTTATTTTCTCAAGAAATTTGCATTTCCGAGGTCTGATATCCATCTCAATAGGCCCATTCCACAGCGGAAGAGACTCCTGGGACACTCCGGACACTCAGCACAAAAACATCAGTCCTGGCTTTGGGTTAACAGACAAGTCACTTTAGAAGTCTGACTATCRTCATTGGCAGCCTAGCCAAGGGAACCAACCTGGATCCATCTAGCTGGCTGGATTGGCCTACCGGCCCACATAAGAAATAGGTAAATTGGGGCTGGGGATGTGGCTCAGGTGGTAGCGCGCTGGCATGCGTGCGGCCCAGGTTCGATCCTCAGCACCACAAACAAAGATGTTGTGTCCACCAAAAAATAAATATTAAAAAAATTAAAAAAAAAAAAAGAAATAGGTAAATAATGGAAAAAGGAAAGATGTAGCAACTCCCTTTTCCTTTCTCCATGTTTCCCCATTCACAATACAGATGGGGCACAGGACCTTGGCTAAGGTGTATATGGGGTAGAATGAAAGGTGCACCTTTTTTTCTTTCTTGGTACCTGCATTTGAACGCAGAGGCACTTTACGCTGAGCCACATCCTCAGCCCATTTTTTTTTTTTTTTTTTTAATTTTGAGAAGTTGAGCTTGGCTTTGAACTTGCAGTTCTCCTGCCTCAGCCTTCTCAGTCACTGGAATTACAGGAGTGCACCACCATGCTGGGCAAAAGTTAATATTTTTAAGAAGTAGACAAAGGAAAATCGAGCAAGGTTTTTGTTTTTTAAAACATTTTTAAATTGGTGCTTTATAGTTGTACATAATGGTGGAGTTTGCAGTTACATATTCATACAAGCACATAGAATAACAATATAATTGGTCTATATCAAATGATCAAGATTGATCAAACTGCATAAATTTATTTTTTTTTTCTCATTATTCGCCTATTTCTTAAGCAGGCAAGAGAATCTGGCCAGCCAGAGAGATCTAGGCAACTTCCTTAACTTGGCTGCCAGTAACATTGTAGGGAAGTGGAGCAAAGTCTAGTTTGGTTATTTGGAACTTGAACAAAGCATTTTAGTTCTTTTGGTTGGTGGAGGTCTGCAGAAGAATTATAGTCTACTGGGTGCCCCCTCCTAGAGTACATTTCGGAATTCGGGACGAGAGAACCTTTTTAGATCACTCAGCAGTGTTGGAATACATACACAGATGAAGTGAGGAACACTCTTTCTCCAGCAGCGTGGGATGGAGGCCAGATCGCGAGAGAGCGTTCCACATGAGAGAAGGTAGAATGAGAGGTTTCAGGAGGGAGGAGCCTGTGGGGCCTCTACGAATCAGTGATGGAATTCAGGAGATGGCTGGAGAGAGCGGAGCGARCCAGGATCCGGGCGGGGATGCAGGAGCAGGAGGGCGCGGGCGGGCCTGGGTACCCGGTGGCTGCACGCCGGCTGCCCCACGTGGCAGGCCCTGGGGAGAGCCGGGCGGGGCGGGGCGGCCGGGGGGCGGGCCCTGCCGCTGACGCGCGGGGTATATAGCCGGGCATGCGCGCGGCGGCGGGGGCCGGACGCTGGGAGGGGGGGCGCGAGGTTGTCTTCGCTGACACGCCGGCTGAACTGCTCCTACCGCTGCCGGCCATCCTAGGGCCTGGCGGGTGAATCTGCGCGGGCCCCACTGCCGACCTCCCGGCTGCAGGTGAGGGCGCAGAGCGGACGCGCAGGATGGGCACCGGCGACGCACCTCCAGGCTTGGAGGCACCGGGTGGGGGTGGGGGTGCTAAGGACCGGGAGACTCTCCGTGTATCGCTCTCTCCGGGGCGGCCGGGTCCCGGTGGCACCTGGCAGCGGTGCGGCGATGGCGAGGGGGAGGTCACATTGAGGTTTCCCTAGGCTGGACTGCCTGGGATGTGTGAGTCAGACAAGGGCACCCGGAACGTCGATAGCCGAGCGGAAAGGTTGAGAAAGGCTTCCTGGAGCCTGGGAACACGGAGCGCAGGGTCAGAGAAAAAGCATCGTGGATGAGCAAATCCGATGCCCTGCCCCAGGACAGCTCTGATGGGGCTCCGGTGTCTGGTCTTTGCTTTCCAGGAACTGTGTACCCCATCACCCACCAGACCATTTARCAGCTGAAGATCGATGTCCCAAATGTTCTAGCTGGAGCTGGTGCACGGCAGAGGGGGTACCGATCTAAGCCTGGCTAACCGCGAGCATGGCTCTTTGGTTATTTTTGGTCGGTACTGACCAAGTTAGGTAGTTTGGTTCAGGCTGCCCCCTTTTGGTGTTTTAGGGCTRTGGGACAAAATAGCCATCCAAGCGTTTTCACCATGTGATCCTGAGGGCCAATTAAGCGAGGAAAATATCCTCTGCTCTAGGTTGTGGGTTCACTTTTAAGAATCTTAGTATCCGTGTGAAAAGATYGGCTTCTCTAGATAATTAAATGACGTGTGTGTCCTAGGGGAGCCTGAGTATGACTTGGTGAGGGGCTGAGTGCCCTCCTGTGGGGAGGAGGAGAGGSRGGAGTGCCTTGACCCTACCCTTTCTTCTGGAGCAGCTTGGATTTGGATTTATGGCTTTAATGCCCTTCCCAGGAGATCTGCCATTGGGATAGATGCCCTGCTGGGGGTGGGTGGTGATACTAGGGTGGAGAGGGGACTGGTAGTGGAGAGGCCATCCTGCCTCTATTTGGGTTCAGCTCCTAACTTGCTCTGCAACCTTGGGGATGGCTCAGGTCAGCACTAAGATCAGATTGGATTTCTTATCCACAGTATGTACATGAAATTCTGTAATCCTTACCTCTTAAAACACAAGCCCTAAAAACTGAGAGGAACTTGTCTCTTCCTTGTTGAATAAGGGGAAGAATGTCTAGAATCATAAATTTCCGTAGTTGGAATTAAAGTCACATATTCCCTTTCTTCTTGGAGGCTTAGTTGGTTTTCCATCAGTTGTGGGGAACACAAGAGATATTGTAGTGGTCTCTTTCTGTGACTGCTTTGCAGGTGTGACTAGGGCACTGAACACTGGAGTGGGGAGACCCTGGGTATTGTCTCTTCTTTCAGAAARATAGGACCAGAGCCTTCTTCCTGCTTAAACTAACTTTTTTTTTTTTTTTGAGGGGGACCTGGGATTGAACTCAGGGGTGCTCGACCACTGAGCCATATCCCCAGCCCTGTTTTGTATTTTATTTAGAGACAGGGTCTTACTGAGTTGCTTAGCACCTCGCTGTTGCTGAGGCTGACTTTGAACTTGAAATCCTCCTGCCTCAGCCTCCTGGACTACTGGGATTACAAGCACTGGCCCTGCTTAATCTAACTTTTATTGCTTACCTGGCCTTTGGGACCCTGGGGGTGGGGGCAATGCAGGAGAGGGAGACGAGAGCCAGCTATCAACTGAGAAACCAACAAACCTGAGGGAGTAGTGGCTGGGTATATTGGCCTTGTCATTTAGGCAAGAAGAGGAGCAGGAATTGTGGACTCCTTGAGGATATGAGAGCTCTGTGACTCTCAGAGCAAAAATCTAAACCCAGCATTGCTTCAGGAAGAAGAGCTAGGTTCAATGTACAGGGGCTGGTCTGAGTCCTGTGACAGCCACTATAGTGGGTCAGGAAGAAGGCCTGTCCCCTGCCTTCCAATGTAGACTCTTGGTGGGAAGAAAGAGCACCAGATTAAGAGTAAGGTGGCAAAACCAGAGCACTCTATCAGTAGAGATGTGCTGGGCGACGGGTGGAGGGTGGAGTCAGCCAGGTGGGTCTGTGTCTAAATCCTGGCCCCATCATTGTCCAGCAGGGGACATTTCTTAACCTTTGTGGGTCTGTTCTTATTGCCTTGTGGCACTTTGAGATTGTGCCTAGAGCAGGTAGAGGCCTCTTTGTTATCTTTATCATTTTTGTAGGATGGAGTGGGCTATTTAGGATCACAGAAGCTGATAGGCAGATTGAGTTTAGGGCTGGTCTGAGCTCAGACATAGGACGGATTCACCTCTTTAGTACCTGGGCACGACTTCCCTGCCATTCTGGGTGGTCCACTTTTCCATGGCCTGATAGGGATTAGCCCACACTGGGCACTCTTAGAGAAAAGATACGTTTTCTATCATTAATTCTGGAAACTACTTTGATTTCTTCAGAGAAGAAATACTCCTCCACTGGGCCAATGATGGCCAGGAAGGACTCACAATACCTGTGTGCGTGTGTGTGTTTATGCACATGTGTGTACACGTGTCATAGGGCTGTTCCTGTTTTCAAACCCTTTCTACCTTCTTCCTCTTTCCTTACCTTCTCACACTCCATAATTGGGCCATGTCGAATATCAGCAGGCTTGGGATCCACTTTGTGCTGCCGTGAGTTGATTGTAGATGTTGGGAATTGGGACCTCCCTCTCCCCACTCTGCCAGAGTAATTCCTCCTATTCCCACTTGACACCTGAACACCTGGTGCCTTTGCAGAACCACAGACTAGCATGTTACCTGGAGGGGCTTTGTTTTAAAATGAAAGACATTAGATCCAGAGATGCTAATTGGTGCCTTGAGTCACCAGTTACTCTGAGGAAGACCAAAGAAATGTTTTACTTTCMTTCATAAACTTGATGAAATTGCCAGTAGTCCCAGTCTTTTCCTTGGAAAATTGAGGGAGAGAGGTCAGTTGTCCSTGCATATATTGGGGGTGAAAGATGGTCTTTGTTTCTGCCGCAGGTGTTTCTTCTGGGAGGGTCTCCTACTTCTTTCTCTTTGCAGACTCCCTGGTAATAGGGGCATATGTGAGAAAGGGTCGCATTGTGTGTGTGCAGGACACAGACACACTAGATGTCTGCAGTAGGCCCTCTTGGCGGGTTGTCAGACTGCCAGGTGATAAGGGGGTCAGAGTCTACTAACATGGGACTGCTGCCAGCCAGGGCCTTATGCCTGCCCTACCACAGGGCTCTGAACCCCTGCTGCCATGGAGCCTCCCAGAGGGGGGTCTTAGTTGGGCCCAACTGAGATCTGGAGGCAGAGCTGCCTGCCGGGCYCTCCAACCTGCACTAGGCCAGGAGCCTGCCTAGAGGCCAGACAACCACAGAATCCTGCCAAGGGAGCCTGGCGGGCCCAGCCTGGGAAACCTAAGTCCCTGCCTAGGCAACAGAGGTCTGACTGTTCTCAGGCCTCCTAACCTTCTTWCAGCATCAAGTCCCAGAGAGTCCTGGAGTTTGATGGAATGAGAAGGTGACAGTCCTAAATTTATAGCACTCAGTATTTGTTCTTAGTAAAAAAGTTCTGTTAAAAGTTAGGAATTTATGACCAGCACGGTGGTACATGCCTGTAATCCCAGCTGCTTGGGGAGAATCTCAAGTTCAAAGCCAGCCTCAGCAATTTAGCAGGGGTCCAAGCAACTCAATGAGACTCTGCCTCTAAATAAAAATATTAAATTGGATTAGTGATGTGGTTCAGTGGTTAAGCACCCCTGGGTTCAATCCTGGTTAAAAAAAAGGAGGGGGGGTGGGAATTTAAGTTAAAAACTTATTTTAAGTAATATATCTCAAAAAACACTTATTTTTACTCACCAAGATTTTTTTCCCCTTTGCAGTGCTGGGGATCAAACCCAGGGCCTGAAGCATGTGCTCTACCACTGCAGTCTACCCCAGCCCCTTCTAGATTGTGTTTAGGGCCAACTAAAAATAAAAGGTCTTTTATTTGAGTCTCTAGATTTTTTATTAGACTTCCAAATTGTATGTAAAAATTGCACCTTCAACCATCACCTGTGATTCCCTGATTTCTTTGTTAAGGTTTTTAACTAGGCTGTATATTCACATAGTTTTAACTAGGCTCTATATTCACATAGTTCAAAGATCAAAACAGTGAAAATCAAAAATAAAACTCCTCCCTTTTGTAAATGCTCTAAGTGTCTAGACATCGGTCTGTCCTGCACCTTTTGCACACAGCAGCTGTATCAGCTCTTTCCACATGTGCACATGGAGGATTCTTACCATTTTTCTCTGTAAAGCTGCATGGGGTTCCATACTATGGAAATACTGTCTTTTTTTAACCACCCCCCCACCGCCCCCGCCTTGGGTTGTTTTCACTATTTTCCCATTATTTACAGTGCTGCAATGATTAACTTTATACAAGTGGCATTGCCTATGTTTATGACTGGAATAAATTCTATGAAGTGGAAATGCTGGGTAAAAGGTGAAATACAACTATTTAATTAGCTTCCATTTTTTAAAAAAAGTGAATATTTAAGATATTTGCAAATCATATTTAGAATCCTACTTCTTTTATACACACACCTGATTTAATTGTAATTTAATTTGTAACTAGTCTTTTTGTTCTTTTCTGTCTGGGGTTTGAACCCAGGGGCATTCTTCTGGGCTACATCCCTAGCCTTCCCCCACCTTTTTTTTTTTAACCAGGGATTGAACCCAGGGATGCTTAACCACTGAGCCACATCCCCATCCTTTTTTTGAATTTTATTATTGGCAGGGTCTCACTGAGTTGCTTAGGGCTTTGCTAAGTTTGAACTTCCKATTCTCCTGCCTYAGCCTCCCGAGCTGCTGGGATTACAGGAGTGTGCCACTACGCCCATCTGTGAAAAGTCTTTCTAGATTAGGCATTTTCATACTTTTGGATCCTAGGATCCCTTAATATTTGCTTTTGTGTGGCTATATCTGTGGGTATTTACTATATTAAAAATTCAAACTGAGAAATTCAGAAATAGTTATTAGTTCATTT